ACACGACAACTGAAGAAAAAGTATGGAAAACTTTCTTTTCAGTCTACTAATCAAAGGTGTGTAAAATGTAAATTAGGGTCAGTCAATACTTATTTTAACAGAAACAAGTGGGCATTTGTGGAGATACCAACGACTCCAAAAAGGACTAAATTTGTTAAGTATATTAAAAAGGCAAAAAATCTATTTACACCACAAGGCTAAATAAATTACCATGCATTTGTTTTAGTGTAAAGAGTACTATCTGGTTGTGCTTTATGTATAAGAAAGTTTCTTGTTATCGAAAACTGTTTGCATAAAGGACCAAAGGTATAGATGATCCAACTTATTTTTTATGAGCCCCTTTCAAAGGTAATGAATGCTTTCTCTTAGTATGTCTGCTCAAGAAACCAATATAGCACCAAACCGGCACTTTCTTTTTTCTCAACTGCCCAAAATAAAAAATTAACACACTCGTCTTTTCAGATCTGCCATTAATTGAGCCACAAGTCTGTGCATGACCAACACCAGCCTGTAATACTTTTGAGATCCATACCTGTGGCTCGTATTATGCTGCCGTACCTTTATTAAAATGTGCTTATTATATTGTTTATTCTACAACTTTCTATACACCCAATTGTAAAGTCAGATGATTCTTCTTGGTTTTTGAGGGCAGAGGCAAGATATATTGTATCTGATATAATGATGGGACACAGAGGCATGTCAACTGCTCCTGGAGACACCCACAGCAAGTACTCGATTATATACAATAGCGTGCCGAGCCGGATTGACTAATGGTTTGCTGGTTATGAGCTCGAATATGCGAGCCCATTTTAAGTGCCAACAGAGAGAATACCCAGGGGGATATCGATTTATCTTCTTTGGTTTTATTGTGGGCGATCCATGGTCAACCTGTGGTAGACGCAAAAAAAAACAATATGATTTGGTGCTACTGAAACGCTGAGATCACAAAGACTTACGGATCCCCCATACACAGCTTGGCGGTGTTTATTAATTGATTCAATCTCGGCTTGGTTTCGACTTGATCACATGTGAAAAGTTCCCTTCTCCCAATTGAACTGTATGCGATTTGGATATGAAAGATGGCCGGAATTTCTGGATTTCATGTCATATGAAGTAGGTCTTCTGGTGATAAGCGCTGGAAAAATACAAGATCCCGCAACTAGCCTAGAGTCAGAAACGTTTTGTGGTTATATATCACACTGACACATCCCCGATCTGAAACTGGGACGTCAGTACTTGCAAAATACTAGAGATACTAGGCTTTTTCCTCCTGGCATTATGGCAGCACTCGCTGACGTTGTATATTCGACTGTAATACCTACGCCACATCAGCGATTATTGATTCCCTTAAAGGCAACCATGATAGATATGGCCCTTTGGCTTTTCGTCTGCTTTATAATTCTTGTTACAATCTTCCCTCCTCTTTCCCTGTAATAATTCTACAAATTAATTTAGCTTCAGTTCAATAGTAAAATAAATACAACACACATATTTAAATAGACATCTTGTTGACTACGGTTACTGGGTAACCCAAGACCGGTCAGAAATAAAAACTTGTACAAAAAAATTGCCTTTTTCTTAGTGCTTCTGACTCTGCACTGTTTGTATAGGACGCCAAAAATAGAGGGAAAGTAGCAGTGAGTCAAGTCGAGTGACTTGAGAGTTGAAGGATTTTTAAAGATATAAAGAATAAAGAAAGAGAATAATAGTTAATGTAACTTTTATGAATTAATGTTAACGAAATTATTTTCTAGTCGAAAAAGAAAATGAATGCCAAATTGATGCCTATTTTCTGCACAGACTGGTATTTTCTATAGCCATAGTGGCGGCTTTAAGAAGGCTAATGATTAAACCACAAAAGATTTAAAATTCTTTTATCCCCAAAAAAGCTTCAGATCATTATGCTACCCTTTTTCATTACTTAGTCATTCCTAGGTCCATATATCATTTTATAGATATCGCATTAGCTTTTTTTTGTCTGGTAGCTCGGGTACGTTCCTTGTTATCTTCTACTGTGAATCTCTTTTTAACAAAATCAAGACAACAGAAAAAGGTAATAGTAAAACAACAGCCAACCATATTATTATTATAGACAAACTTAGTGGCAAGAAAATGAATACTGGTGGAAAGACAATTTTAGTAAAGAACAAATTAAGGAGAGCTAGTTAACTACGTTGGGTCATTTTTACAGCTACACCACCACTTCAAAGTTGATTTTAATGAGCGATATCAAAAGAAATCCCGCCGTGCTATAGTAAACTGAATGAATGTCTCATTAGAAAATACACCTTGTCTACCTTACCAAGGAACACAAGTATAATAAGACAGCTCTCAAGTGTAATATAGTAGTACCAAAAACATTATTAATAATATTTTTTAAAGACAAATTTAAGATCAAAATCAAAGAGACAAAACATAATGATAATATCAAAGTCAAATGAGATCAAAATTTATTGTTCAAATTTTTATAAGGGGAATATAAGTTAGGTTAAATTAAATTAAGTATACTAAGATATTCCAGGCCATGCTAGTCCAGTCGAGTCCAGTCGGTTCCAGTCAAGTCCAGTCGGTTTTTTTTTTGGTCCATTTGATTTTTCTTTTGATCTTTTTTTTTGTCCGTTTTTTTTTCTTCTTTTTTTTTTTGTCCAGTCAATATAAGCTAAGAGTGATAGGAGGAGGAGGATTTTGGTATTGAAAAATAATAAAGGGGATAATTTGGACTTTTTGTTTTTTTTTTCTTGTTTTTTTGATTCTTTTTTTGATTCTTTTTTTTTGTCCAGTCAATTTCACGGAATAGTAATAAGAGGATGATTTTGATATTGAAGAGAATAAAAAAGATAATTTGGACTTTTTTTTTTTTTTTTTTTTTTTTTTGCTTTTTTTTTTTGTCCAAACACAGCACACATAATAAAGGGGGATAATTTGGACTTTTTGATTTTTTTTTTGATTTTTTTTTTTAATTTTTTTTTGTCCGAACACAGCACACATAGTAAAGGGGATAATTTGGACTTTTTGATTTTGATTTTGATTTTTGATTTTGATTTTTTTTTTTTGATTTTTTTTTTACTTCTTTTTTTTTGTCCAGTCAATTTCACATAATAGTAATAAGAGAAGGGGGTTTCGATATTGAAAAGAATAAGAGAAGGGGGTTTTGGTATTGCTCTTTTTGCTCTTTCTGTTTTTTTTTTGAGCTTCTTTTTTTGAGCATTTTTTTTTTGTTTTTTGTTTTTGATCAAAGACTTCATTTGCTTTGTATGTATATATGTAAAAAGGGATTTCATACCTTGTCTTAATCCAGAGTCTTGTTCCAGTTCGCAGCTTTGCTTCAATCCAGGTCCAGGTTCCAATGCAGAGTTCTTCCGGTTTGTTCATCTTTTTTTGCTTTTTTTTTGCTTTTTTTTTTTTGCTTTTTTTTTTTTGCTTTTTTTTTTTTGCTTTTTTTTTTTTGCTTTTTTTTTGTTTTGTTTTTTTTTTGTTTTTTTTTTGTTTTGTTTTTTTGTTTTTTTTTTGAGAGAGAGAGGAGGGCTTAGTATAGGCCTCAGGGTCGGATTTCTTTTGATCCTTTTGGAGTGGAGGACTTAATGTGCCTGATCATTTCTGATAGGCTTTGGTCTACGCCTCGGTTTTTGGATTTGATCCTTTTGGAGTGGAGGACTTAATGTGCCTGATCATTTCTGATAGGTTTTGGTCTACGCCTCGGTTTTTGGATTTGATCCTTTTGAAGTGGAGGACTTAGTATATGCCTCAAGTTCGGATTTGGTTTTTGATTTTTGGTTTTTGATTTTTGATTTTTGGTTTTTGGTTTTTTTTTGGAACTTGCTTTTGGAATTTTGCATTGGACCCCTTCTTGGAAATCGACTTGGCCTTGAGACTTGGAGGTACAACCCAGATTTTGGACTTTGATAGAAATGCGCCTCTACTTTTGTATGTATATATGTATGTATATAAGTGTGTATATGTATGTTTGTATGACTATGACTATGACTATGTGTATGTGTGTGTGTATTTGTGTGTGTGTGTGTGTGTGTGTGTGTGTGTGTGTGTGTATAAGAAAGAAATAGAAAAATAGAAATTGTGTGTGTTTGTGTGTGTATGTATTTGTCTACTTCTCTAATTGTGTACTTCTCTATTTGTTTGTATATGTTTGTGTGCTAGGACTAGTACTAGAACAGTACTTGGACAGTTTTTGGACATTTGGACTTGGACTTGGACAAGACTTGGAATTGGATTTGGACTTGGACTTGGACATAGCAATGGACCTTGGCTTGACTATTTTGGAGATTGTACTAGTGACTATGGGGTTTGATCTGAGATAGAGAGATAATTGTGAGCACAATTTTTTCTGGTCAATATTGTTCTGGTTGTTTTTCTTTTCTTTTTTCTTTTCTTTTTTTTTTGTATCTTTTCATTTTCTTTTTATATATTTTTTTCTCTTTTTCTTCTTTTCTTTTTTGACTATCTATCTTGATTTGGCTTTGAATCTTGACAGTGACCTTGAGGGTCTCTGAAAAGCCTTTTTTTCTCTGGTGCGCATTTGGAGCCTGTGTTGTAGTAATACAAAAAATGATTAGTCTATGTCTTGAGATAGCTCACCCTTTTTCACGGTACTTACATTAGCCTTTCTTGTGGGCCGCATTGATGTTTGCTCTGGCGCATACTTTGGCCTCTCTTGTAGGATAGTTAGCCATTTTTGCTGGCACATACTGTGGTCTTTCTTGTGGGCTAGTTGGCCCTTTTTGCTGGCACATACTGTGGCCTTTCTTGTGGGGCGGTTTGCCCTTTTCTTCTGGCACATGCTTTGGCCTTTCTTGTGGGCCGGTTTGCCCTTTTCTTCTGGCACATACTTTGGCCTTTCTTGTGGGGCGGTTTGCCCTTTTCTTCTGGCACATACTTTGGCCTTTCTTGTGGGGCGGTTTGCCCTTTTCTTCTGGCACATGCTTTGGCCTTTCTTGTGGGCCGGCGTGCCATTTTTTCTGGCACATACTTTGGCCTTTCTTGTGGGCCGGTTTGCCCTTTATCTGGTGCGCACTTGGAGCCTGCATTGTAACAATACAAAAACAATTAGATTATGTCTTGAGATAGTTTGGTCCTTTTCCTGACACTTACATTAGCCTGTCTTGTAGGCCTGATTGGTCTTTGCTCTGGCGCATACTTTGGCCTCTCTTATGGGCTGGTGTAGCCTTTTTCTAGGCGCCCTTGTTGGGCTTCTGGTGAGCCTTATCGGCTTTTGACGAGGTGTCTTGAGGACACGACATAGCCGACACCTTTGCGGCAGAAATGGAACCATCGAGTTCCCCGGCAGAAGCAACAGGAAGCAACAGGAAGCAAATGTCCGACCAGTGGGATAAATGGCTCCTACCAGTGAGATAAATGGACCCGCCAGTGGAAGGAAAATGGGCGGCTGGCAACTGGCAACTGGCAACCGGCAACCGGTAACTGGCGGCTATATAAAAAGGTCCACTGGCGAGAGATGACAGGTTCACTGGTAGGAGGAAAGGGCCTACCAGTGGGAAGCAACAAACCCACTGGCAGAAAAGTCCCACTGGCGGAAGCAACAGACTAACAAAAAAAAAAAGCAACAAGCAACAGTACCTTTCAAATAACATGGACCGCCGTGGAAGGCATAGGGAAGGAACAAGCAACGGGAGGGAACAAGCAACGGGAACTAACCCAAAAAAGATGGTACCAGCCGCGCCCACC